ACTGTGGGCTTTGGACTAGAAAAGCAGTTGAATGCTTAAGGTGGGGCGTAAAAGGCCACATGGAAGACAGTGGTGCTAAGAGCAATGTAGATTATGATGGCCCAGCTCAAAAGGTTTCAAAGGAGAAAATATTACAAAGTGTCCTCCTAGAGACCTAGAGATAGTTCTTGTGATAATTTGGCAAAGAATGTGGCCGCTTTCTGCCCTTGTCAAAAAAATCTGCCTGAGGCTAAATTGAGTTTTGGCTTAATGTGGTAGCAGAGGAGATTTCAAGATAACCTAATATTGACTGTTTCGTGTGGTTTATTAGTGTTCATTCTTCTGCAGGTCTATAATGAAAAGGAACAAGATGAGCAAGGAAAACAGAAAGTGACAGTTTAAGAAGAAAAGAAGCACTGGGAAGTATAATAGAGCTAAGTCCTGTGCTCAAGGAGATAAAAAGTTTAAAGAGAAACCTGATCCTAAATGGAATACAAGGAGTGGTAACCTCAGAGCAAGACCCCACCCAGCTAAGCTTCCAGTTTGTAAAAAGGAATTAAAGAAAAGCTTAAGCAGCGAAGGGAATCATCAGAAACAGAAGGCTGTTGCACATGCAATTGAAAGAGGGGCCCATGTTCCAGCCCTGGCAAGAAGCAGAACTTGACAATGTTGGCTTTGCTGTTCCTTTCAGAGACAAGGCTGCACATGTGCAGGATAATTGGCCTACAATTCCCAGAAACAGTAGAGGACTACAAATCCCAATTCAACGAAAGCCATGCATGCGCAGGACATTTTCCCAGATGCACCTGGATCCCCCCCATAAAAACGGGGAACGCCATAACTCGCCTTTTTCCCTTTGGTCTCTTCACCCCTGTCCCTCACCTGTCGTCACCCCCCCATTAAAGTTCACCCACGTGGGACCGCCGTGTGTCTCGTGTTTTCTCTCCAACCCCACAGAAAGAACAACAGTTGGTGTCGTCTGCTCGGGGACCTTTCCTCCCGGTCACCTGAGGCCGCGGCTCAGGTTTTTGGTGCCTCCCGGGACAAGGTCAGGACCGAGGACCAGCGACCGCCCCCACATGTTAAACGCAGCCATCTGCAACCAACAGCAGCTAATTCGTGAGTTCACCTGGGTTGGCTTACCATCCCCTCTCACCCAGAGATCATCCGGTGGAGCTCCTGGCTTTCTTTGGCGTGTCCTGGGTGGAGCTCCTGGCTTTCTTTGGCGTGTCCTGGGTACGGATGCTGACTCCTCCCCCCTCCCCCCCAGCCTTCCACCCTCGGCTAGACCTGTTTTTTATCCGTGCCTGGAAGCTCGGAGCTTCCAGTTCTCTCTTTCTGATCTTTTTCTGTCCTCTTTACGTATGGGCTCATTACGGTATGAGCACCTCGGCTGCAACGGGCGGCCTTCAGGCCTAACTGTTCCCTCTTGCCCAGGACCCCGCTTCCCGTTGGAGGCTAGGATCGGTTCAGTAAGGTCTTTTAACACTGCCCTCTGGTCACTCGGACGCCTGTGACTAGAGCTGCCAACGTTCGTGGCACCTCCCGGTGCCTTCTGTGGATATTTCCACAGTTCTAGCCATGGGTGCTAAGCCTTCAAAGACAATTCCCCCGTCCTCTCCCCTAGGACGGCTATTGGAGACACTACAACCTCACGCCCTGATTCCTTCTGTTAAGTTATCTACACTCATCCGTCTTTGCTCTAAGACGTGGCCAAGATACAGTTTACACGGAAACTTTAAATGGCCTCCTCATGGCTCCTTTGACCCCGATATTTTACGGGAGCTAGCTAACTTCTGCCATCGGTCTGCTAAATGGAAAGAAATGATGTACATTATGGCGTTTTTTTACACGGCCATTAAAACTGACCCCTCTGCTGCTTCTCACTGTTCACCTGCACATATGTTCTTATCAATGCCGTCCCTCCAGGAACCCTCTGCTCCTGCCATGGACCCCGCGGAAGAACCTCCACCCCCTTGGCCTTGAGGGGCCACCCCTCTCGCTCTGCCCAGTTGAGTGACAGCCCACCCATTCCTCTTTCCTCCAAGGTTTCTTCTAGGCACAGAAAGGACTCACCTACATCTCCCCATAACGCCTCTAAACATTCCACTTCTAGGTCTCCGGGAGTCCCACGTAAATATTCTTCCAGGTCACCTAACCGTTCTCCTTCTAGGTCCCCAAGAAAGTCCCATTCCAGATCTGCAAGGGCCTCGCCTAGGCCCTCCGACAGAGTCCTACGTAAATATTCTTCTAGGTCACCTAACCATTCTCCTTCTAGGTCCCCAAGAAACTCCCGTTCCAGATCTACAAGGGCCTCGCCTAGCCCCTCCGACTCAGCTTCACCCCATTTTTCCCCCGCAGCAGGTCACGCAGGTAGCTGGAAGCTTCCCCCTGCCACAGGTCACACAGGCAGCTGGAAGCTTCCTTGGACTCTTCTCCATCTTCTTCCCGCCCTACTCTGCCCCCTCGATCTTCCAAAGCCCCTCTGGACTCCCGCTGTCACTAATCACCATTCCCCCTTTGTTATTCACTTAAAACACCCACACCTGAGGATATCGGGTTCCTAAAAGCTACCATGGCCTCCTGTCAGATCTGCCAAAAGATAATGGCCCAGAGTTTACTTCCCAGATTTCTCAAAATCTGTCTAGGGCACTTGGAATCCCCTGGAATTTTCACATACCGTACCATCCTCAGTCTTCAGGTAAGGTAGAACGGACTAACCGCTCTTTAAAGGAAGCCCTCGTTAAAATGTCACAGGAACTCCACCTCGACTGGGTAAGACTTCTGCCTCTGGCTCTTCTCAGGCTTCAGGCTCTCCCAAAGGGCCCCCTTTTCATTTCACCCTTCAAACTCATGTATGGGCAGCCGGTTTTAACCCCCGGCCTCTCATCGGGAACCTCTCCCATTCCTGATCACCTGCTCACTCCCCTCCTTTCCCACTTACGCTCACTACTGTGGGACTTCACGGATCACTCACTGCCTCAACCATGTGCTACCACATGTCCACCGCCGGTTAAAATAGGGGATAAGGTATTACTCTCACCTCCAGGCCAGCTCCCTTCACCTCTTTCCCCTAAATGGCAGGGTCCCCTCAGAGTAATCCTTCTAACTCCCACAGCTGCCAAGCTTGAAGGGATTCCTCACTGGATTCACCTGTCACATCTTAAACCATTCATCTCCACAGCTCAAGATAATCCTTCATACATGGTAACTCAGACAGGACCTTGTTCTCTTAAGTTCCAAAGGATACCAGGTTCAGCCCCCTCTACTCCAGTCTAAGGAAAACAGTGGTCCCATCCTTCACTTAATCCTCCTGTGTTAACACACCCTCCCTTCTTTAAATTCCTAAATAACCATCCAGCTGTCATTACAGAAATCATCATCAAACATGGAGTCAAAGGCTCAGGTGGTAAGCAGATTCTTAACAAAGTTCCTTGACATAACAGGACTGTCACTGACTGCAGCAGTGACCCCTAAAATGTTAAGGAATATACGGTTAAAATCTATTTCTTTTAAGACATTTTCTTTAAGCTCCAAGAAGCCAGCCCAACCCACCTGAACGAAGTAGACACAAACGGATCATTAACGGAATAAGTACCATCCAATTAATGGAATAAGTACCATTTAATTTTTTTTACCATTCTTAACCCCAGACCTCCTACGGCCCCCCACCCCAAATCTCCCCTTTAATTTCCCAAACCCCTTCTCCACTTTAATTTTTTCTCTACTAATGCGACTTTTGTTTTCCAGCATCTTAACAATGATCCAGCTACTCAAGAGCCAGACAGACGCGATTTCTTCAATCAGCCACCTCAAAACACCAGCGGACAGGACATAATCAACAAAACATCATCAGAACAATCGGACACTCTCCGGATCCCTCGACGCCCAAAGCCAGCAGGAAGCAGTCATGAGAGACCGAGCTATGCCCCCATTCCCTACCTGTTAAGACCCCTCCCAATTTTTTTAAATAAAACCAAAAGGGCGAAATGCTGTTCCTTTCAGAGACAAGGCTGCACATGCACAGGATCATTGGCCTACAATTCCCAGAAGCAGTAGAGGACTACAAATCCCAATTCAATGAGAGCCACGCATGCGCAGGACATTTTCCCAGATGCACCTGGATCCCCCCATAAAAACGGGGAATGCCATAACTCGCCCTTTTCCCTTTGGTCTCTTCACCCCTGTCCCTCACCTGTCATCATCCCCCCCCATTAAAATTCACCCACATGGGACCGATGTGTGTCTCGTGATTTCTCTCTAACCCTGCAGAAAGAACAACAGGCTTTAAAGTCAAGGATAGAAGAAAGAGGTTATGGAATTTCCCTCTGCAACTAAAGAAGGCCACTGAGGTCAGGTATATGTCAGGGGTGTCCCTGCATGGAGTCTCAGAGAGGCCTTTGCATATGAAGCTGTGAAGATGGAGCCTGGATTGCGTTGGAGACCCCCAAGATGTTGGAGATGCCAGAGCCGTGGGATACCTGACAAGGAGAGCTGCAGACTGGGTGTGGAAGCAGCCCTAGAGAGAGAAGTGTGCTGCAGTTAACAGACATGAAAGGAGTTGGAGATCAAAGAGTGCTTTGACATCAGACATGAAGATGCAGAGTTTGAAGTTTGCCCAGATGGTTTTCTGTCTTTTCTGGTTCAGTATTTCCTCACTATGCTCCTTTCCCTCCATTTTTTAATAGTAATCTATATGCTGTACCATTGTATGTTGTAAGTATGTGACCTGCTTTTTGATTTTGATTTTACTGGGGGATTACAGTTAAGAGACTGCCTTGAGTCTCAGAAGAGATTTTGAACTTTGGACTTTTAAACAGTGTTGAGACTGTGATATGATGGAGGAAGGTCATTGGCTAATAAAGGAACTGCCTTGGCCCATTTTATTGGTTAGAAGATAGGTGGGAGGAGTAAACAGAACAGAACGCTGGGAGGAAGAGGAAGTGAGCTCAGACTCCACAGCTCTCCTCTCGGGAGCAGACGCCTGAGAAAGATGCCATGCTCCGCTCTCCCGGGCAGAAGCACGCCATGAAGCAAGCCGCCAGGTTAGACATGCTGAACCTTTCCCAGTAAGACCGGTGCTCATCGATTATTAGAGATGGGTTGATCGGGATAACAGAATTAGCCAGTAAGGGCTAGAGCTAAAGGACCAAGCAGTGTTTAAATGAATACAGTTTGTGTGTTGTTATTTTGGGGCATAAGCTAGCCGTGCAGGCGGCCGGGGTGCCAGGGACACAGCCCCGCCGCTCTTATTACTACAGTGATAGACTATGGGGACATTTGAAGTTGAACTAAATGCATTTTGTATTATAATATAGCCATAAACTTATGGGACCAGAAAGAGGAATGTGGTGGTTTGAATAAGAATGGCCCCATAGCCTTATAAACTTCAATGCTTAGTCATCAGAGACTGGCACTATATGAAAGGGTTAGGAGGTGGGGCCTTGTTGGAGGAAGTGTGTAATGGGGGGGGTGGGGGGCTTTGAGTTTCCAAAAGCCTAAGCCTGGATGGACCAGTAACTCTGTCTTCCTGCTGTCTTCAGGTCCAGAACTCTCAGCTGCCTTATATGCCTGTGTGCTGCCAAGTTCCCCACCATGAGGATAATGGACTAAACCTCTGAAACTGTAAGCCAGCTTCTTCTTTTGTGAGTTACCATTGTCATGATGTCTCTTCACAGCAATGGAACATTGAATAACAACATTGCTGTTGTTGGATTTTTCCTTTAATTAGTAAGAAGTATTCCTCCTCATACCTGCTGATTGGTTTTGGTTTAAAGTCTATTTTTTCCTAAATATTAGAAGAACTACACTTGTTTATTATTAGTTCCATTTAATTTGAATACCATTTTCATCCATTTATCCTAAGGTAGTGTTTATTGTTGTTAATGAGATGCATTTCTTCGACTATTAAAAAAGATGAATCCTGTTTTCTAATCCATTTGTTAGTCTGTGACTCTTTATTGTGGAGTTAAGACCACTAATATTAAGAGTTATTATTAAACAATGTGTATTCTTGTCATTTTCTTGCTTTGTGGAGTTTCATTTGACCTCTTTTGATTCAGTTTTCTGAAACTGTTTGTTTCTTCCTTGTGCCTTCTTGGGCATATGAAACCTCGCCAGACCTGAGGATTCCCTTCATCATCTTCTATGGAGCTAACTTAATGATCATAAATTCCTTTATCTGTTTTTAGGATAGAAAGTTTTACTTTCTTCTTTGGTTACAGTTGAGTTTTCCCAAATATAGTATTATGGGCTGATGCCTGTGGTCTTTACCAATATGTGTAACAATGGTCTAATCCCTTCTGGATTTCCCGGCCTACATTGAAAAATCAGTTCTTATTATGACAGGCCTGCATTTGTATGTGAATCTCTTCCATCTTTTAATATCCTTTGTTCTGTACACTTAGTGTTTTAACTGCTATATAATGTGAGGAGTTTCTTTTCTGGTGTTCTGAATATGTCTTAGACATTGATAGGCCCCTCTTTTCCTTAGTTTATCTTTTTATGACTTTATTGAAAATATTTCCTGTGCCTTTGACCTGGGTCTCTTCTTCTCCAGATATTAGAATTATTCTTTTTATAGTATTCCAGAATTCCCACATGTTTTGCATTTATTTATTATAGATTTGAAATTTTCTTTGAATTTGACATTTTTCCAATACCTCTACCTTGTCTTTAAGACTCAATATTGTCAGGCCAGAGAGATGGCTCAATGGTTAAGAGCACTGGCTGCTCTTCCAAAAGACCTGGGTTCAATTCCCAGCACCCACATGACAGCTCACAAGTGTCTGTAACTCCAGTTCCAGGGGATCATACACCCTCACAAAGACATGCATGTAGACAAAATACCAACACACTTTAAAAAATAAAAATAAGAAACAATTTTAAAAAGACTCAGTATTGTCTCTTCCACTTGATCCAATCTATTGGTGGGGATTTCTGCTGAATTTATATTTGAATTGCTGAAATTTTCATTTCACATTTTATTTCATTTTAGCTTTTATTTAGAGATTCTCTAATGCTCTATTAAATTTTATTTTCATATCTTGAACTGTTTTAATTATTTTTTTCAATCATGTTTAAGCAGTCTTCTGAAATTTATTCATATCCTTTTTGAGTTCCTCTAATTATGATTATTACTGCTATTTTGAAATCATTGTATGTCATTCAAGTCATGATTGTGGGGGAACATTAATGTTGGAGTGCTAATTTTTTATTGATTTTTATTGAAATCTACATTTTTCTGTGTACCCCTCCCTGACTCTCCCCACCCTCCTCCAACCCTCCCCCAAGGTCCCCATGCTCCCAATTTACTCAGGATATCTTGTCTTTTTCTACTTTCTACTTCCCATGTAGATTAGATCTATATATGTCTCTCTTAGGGTCCTCATTGTTGTCTAAGTTCTCTGGGATTGTGGTTTGTAGGCTTGTTTTCTTTATGTTTAAAAACCACCTATGAGTGAGGACATGTGGTAAGTGTCTTTCTGGGTCAGGGTTACCTCACTCAAATTTTCTAGCTCCATCCATTTTCCTGCAAAATTCAAGCTGTCATTAGTTTTTTCTGCTGTGTAGTACTCCATTGTGTAAATGTACCACATTTTCCTTATCCATTCTTCGGTCAAGGGGCATTTAAGTTTTTTTCCAGGTTCTGGTTATGACAAACAAAGCTGCTATGAACATAGTTGAGCACATGTCCTTGTGGCACAATTGAGCATCCTTTGGATATATACCCAAAAGTGGTATTACTGGGTCTTGAGGAAGGTTGTTTCCTAATTTTCTGAGAAATCACCATACTGATATCCAAAGGGGCTGTACCATTTTGCACTCCCATCAGCAATGCAGAAATGTTCCCTGTTCCCCAAAACCTTTCCAGCATAAGTTGTCATCAGTGTTTTTGATCTTGGCCATTCTTATAGGTGTAAGATGGAATCTCAGAGCTGTTTTGATTTGCATTTCTCTAATTGCTAAGGATGTTGAACATTTCCTTAAGTGTCTTTCAGCCATTTTAGATTCCACTGTTGAGAGTTCTCTATTCACGTCTGTACTCCATTTTTTATTAGATTATTTGTTCTTTTAATGACCTTTGCAGCTCTTAATATTCTTTCTTTACTCTGTATGTTTCGTGTTTTGATTATTATGTGGTGAGAGACTTTTTTTGGATCTAGTCTATTTGGTCTTCTGTAAGCTTCTTGTATCTTCATAGGCATATCTTTCTTTAGGCAGAAAAAGTTTTCTTCTATAATTTTGTTAAATAAATTTTCTGTGCCTTTGAGTTGAACTACTTCTCCTTCTTCTATACCTATTATTCTAAGATTTGGCCTTTTCATGGTGTCCCATATTTCCTGGATATTTTGGGTTAAGCTTTTGTTAGATTAATGTTTTCTTTAACTGATGAGTCTATTTCCTCTATTGTATCTTCAGCGCTTGAGAGTTCCTCTTCCATCCCTTGTATTCTGCTGTTCATGCTTGTGTTTGTGGTTCCTGATCGTTTTCTCATGATTTCTGTTTCTATAATTCCCTCAGCTTGTGTTTTCTTTATTGTCTCTATTTCAGTTTTCAAGTCTTGAATAGTTTCTTTCATATGTTTGGTTTCTTTTTTGTGGTTTTCGTTGAGGGATTTGCTGATGTCTTCCAATTTTTTGTTTGTTTTTTCCACCATTTCTTTGAGGGAATTTCTCATTTCCTCTTTGTTTCAAACATTCTCCTCAAGTTAATTTTTAGGTCATTTTCTTCTGCTTCATCTATATTTGGTTGTTCAGGTATTTCTGTTGTAGGGTATTTAGGTTTTACTGGTGTTGTGTTACTCTTTGTGGTGTTGTGTGTGTTCTTACCTTTTCTACTCATCTTTTCCTCTAATAGTTGTGGTTGTGGCTGTCTGAGATTCTGTTGAATAATCTAGGTGCCAGTGAATCCAAAGCTCAGATGGTTGCTCCTCGTGGTACAACCAGTGTCACAGTTCTGGTTACTCCGTGTTCCTGGAGATAGCTCAGTGCTCCTGTGCTTTGCTCTGCTCCCTTGGAGTTTGCTGTCTCAGGCCTACATTGGCCTAGGTTACTAGCTTTGACCTGTTTCTGTAAAGCCTGGTCTGCATCCCCTCCTGCAGAAGTCCCTGGCTTGGACTTGGTCCTGCAGAGGTTTCTGGCTCTGGTCTACTGCCTTAGAGTTCCCAGGCTCAGGTGCACCCAGAACCACAGAGGACCTGGCTCAGGCTTACTCCCTCAGAGGTCCCAGACTCACGTTCAGACCCACAGAGGTTCCAGGTTCCTGCCTATTCCCTTTGATGTCCCAGACTAATGGACAGACCCAAAGAGGTCCTGGCTCAGGCCTACTCCCTCTGAGGTCCCAGACTCACACCTGGCCCCACAGAGATCTCTGATTTCTGCTTACTCCCTCAGAGGTCCCAGAATCATGCCCAGACCGGTAGAGGTTCTGGCTCAGGCCTAGTTCCTGGGAGGTCCTAGACTTATGCCCAGACCCACAGGGGTCCTGGCTTAGGTCTACTCCCTTAAAGGTCCCAGATTCACGTCCAGACCCTCAGAGGTCTCTGGCTCTGGCTCACTCGCTCAGTGGTTACTCCCCAGCCTGGAGTACTAATTTTTGTCAGAGACTGTTTTGCCTGTTCCTGTTGTGTATTTATGATCAGACTTAAGTATCTGGAGTTAGGTCATTGGTATTGTTTCTTGGTGTAGGCGACATAATGACCAGGCTAGCTTAATATGAAACAGCAAATTTTAATGAAGGAATAGCTTACAACACCAGGGATCCAGCGATGAGCAGAAGATACAAAAAAGAGACCGGCGGGGCTCACACCACCAGATTTATATGTAAACATTAGCCCGAGGCGAACATGCCCCCCATTGGGCAGAGTTTCCCCTACATCTCCCCTTTTTGTCTAAATAAGACAGAACTAAACCAAATACAACTATATACAATAGTAACATATAATAAATATAACAAACAATATTGAGCAAGAAACATATAACAAAAGTTTTGCTAAACATTCTATCTCAAGGAGTCTAAATAAGGTAGAAAGTAACTACAATTATCTAATCTTCAACTCTGCCAAAGATCTGAGAAGGGAATTAATATTACTTAACAAGCGAGAGATATCCAAAATGTGCAACAAATGACAGAGACAACTGATTACCTGGGCAATCACCCAAAGTCTCGTTTGCAATGTTGAGTCAACCAACTTTGGCTAAGGCCTAACATAACTGACATACCATTATTAAAGGCAAGGCACTTTCTTAGAATTATCCTACCCTGTCTTGGCAAGGTAAGACAATCCTGTTTCATCCACTTATGAATATTCTGTATCTTTGTCAGTAGTTGAGGTATGGACTTTTCTTAACCCAAAGGCCAGTTTTGCCAAGAAGACAAGCTCCCAGTGGAGTGTCTTTGGTGCTCAACGTTCTCTCGGGAGTAGAGTGGTGTCGCCAGGAGTGATTGTGTCTCGTTGGCACAGAATTCTAGGTTAGATTAAAGGCCATTTTCTACAGCTCTTCGAAGAGGCTGAAGATTATACTATCTATACTAAATATAATCTCTATGTATCTAAAAGACCTGATTAATTCTCAATACCTATCTAACTTGAAGACTAAGAGAATAAACAACTGTGCAATATA